CAATAGCTAGATTTAATGTATTGTAGAACGATGACAATAAGTTTTCAACACTTCCGGTTGAGAAATCAAGTGGCGACAGTGATAAATTATATAATAATAGCGCATTCTACGAGGAAGTTACGAATCCAGTATACGCTAATATACTTTTACTACCAACGCATATTGAGTACTCTTCAGCACTGCAAACGTCGATGTTTGCATTGGTGACGCAAAATATCCCATTAGGGCTCTCATTGATTCTGTTTCTTATAGTACTTATGATTGTAATAAATATAGAATAACTACTATGTAATAATAAAAGTAATAAAAAAACAACAAAAGCATTTTAACAAAACATTTCAAGTACTGTTAATTTCAACATAAATATATATATACATACATACATATGGATATAAAAAAAAAAATAGATGAAATGTGTGCACGATGGAAGACAAAAAGAATTGAAAGGGCAAAAAAAGATACATCTAATTTCTGACTGGAGACGAAGACCTGGCGGACTTCTCGCCAATCACAGCACAAGAAGGAAGGAAGTTATCTTTGGTATTACGGGAAGATCGGCTTCGAATGTCTTAATTGGTGCGATAAGCGGAGTGAATTTTTGTTTATAAGTTTTTTATTCAGTTCAATTCCGATGTAACAATGATGCGAACCAACAGACACATAAGCACAGACCAACGGACAACAGAACTGCATAGACTGACAATAGGACCATTAGCTAACCATTATGGCGACAGCGACTTTGAATCATCAAGAACCATCTCCTAATATATATTAGGTTGGGGAAAAAGAAATCTATTAGCTTTTCGGTAGATGGCTGCACTGATAGATTTCTCGTAAAGTATCGATCAAACAATTTCCGATACTGTACATTTACATACTGTACATTTCGCAGTAAAAAAATTTTTTTTGCTGTTTTTTGTTTAGAGCATTCAGTTGTGAGTTACAGCGTGTTAAAAATGGATGTGAACAAAGAGAAAATTCGATACATTTTACAGTTTTTCTTTGACAAAGGCGAAAATGCAAGCCGGGCGGCTAAAATTGTGAATGGTGTTTATGGTTCCGATACTGTAACAGCCAATTATGTGCAATTTTGGTTTCGTAGATTCCGTTCAGGAATTTTTGATGTTAAAGATGCACATCGCACAGGTAGGCCGGTCGTCGAAAATGTCGATAAAATCGGAGAAATGATCGAAGTTGACCGGCATGTTAGCAGTCGTAACATCGCCCAGGAACTAAAAATCGACCATAAAACAGTTTTAAACCATTTACACAAAGCTGGATTCAAAAAGAAGCTCGGTGTTTGGGTGCCACACCAATTAACAGAAAAAAACATGATGGATCGAATTTCCATCTGCGAAGCCTTGGCCAAACGGAATGAGATAGACCCATTTCTTAAACGGATGGTGACTGGAGATGAGAAATGGATCACATACGATAACCCTGTGCGAAAACGATCGTGGTCAAAGAGCGGTGAAGCACCTAGAACTAACGGCCAGGAAGGTTTTGCTATGCATTTGGTGGCACTGGAAGGGGATTATTTATTATGAGCTGCTTCCATATGGCCAAACGCTAAATTCTCTACTGTCAACAACTGGACCGTTTGAAGATAGCGATTGACCAGACACGGCCAGAATTGGCCAACAGGAGAGGTGTCGTGTTTCACCAGGACAAGGTTAGGCCACACACATCTACAGTGACTCGCCAGAAACTTCGGGAGCTTGGTTGGGAAGTTTTAATGCATCCGCCATACAGTCCGGACTTGGCACCAAGCGATTATCATCTTTTTCTTGCATTGCAAAATTTCTTTAATGATAAAAAATTGGAATCTAGGGAGGATTGTGAAAATCGACTACTAGAGTTTTTTGCAAATACAGACCAGGACTTCTATGAGAGAGGCATTTTGAAGTTACCTTTAAAATGGCAACAAATCATACAACAAAACGGTGCATATTTGACCCAAATCGGACAATCCGAAGAATGTTAAATAAAGTCCTGAAGTTCATATAAAAATAATGGATTTCTTTTTCCCCAAACTAATATATGTATATATATATTGTGTTAATTTATTTCTTTCTTTTTTTTAACGCAACTTGATTACTCGGGCAAGGTAAATTGCAGCCCCACCTCAACGCGCTGCAAAGTTTTATCATCGATTGGAAACTGAGAAAAGAAAATCTTTGGGATAAAATGGAATATTTAAATGGAATACTCAACCCTAACGTATATTGATATATGTAACACAATATTTTATTGTCATTAATTCGTCCTTAGGCCTATATAATCTTCTCACTTCGCGTTTTCTTAGTAAAGGATGGTACATGAAAATATACTGCAGTGATCAAGGAGTAGTAGGAATAAGTTTTCTTCGATTATCGGGATAATCGACCGTGTTAATGCATTGTGGCTTCTTTCTATTGACAAGACATATGGAATGATAAGAAGAAAAGCGTCAAGCATAGTGTGATGTTATGGCTTTCCAACGTCCCAATATAATCACTTTAGCTATAATACGCAATAAAAAACGTTTTGCGTAATTTTCTGGTTTTTTCCTTTTATACAGGGAAGTATAATAAATTTTATTTTATGTTATTTAGATGCATTTTACAAAATTCTATTTCTATACTTACGCTTCAGAAAGTTGAGCTTGGATTTTCTGATGATTGATAAAACTGAAAATAAAGTAAATCACAACTCTACAATTCTTTTGGAGACTTTTATTTGTTTCACAATAATAAAAAAGATAACATGAAAAAAATAACATGAAATTGTTCATTTAAAAAGAAAGTAAAGATAATAAAATACACAAAAATGATGTCAGTGAATAACGAAAAAAAGAACATTGTTTTTTAGCATGAAATGCTTCGGAAGCCTTTGTTTTGTTTAATCGCTTTTACTTCTAACAAAGTTAAACATTAAAAAACATTTATGTGTAAAAGTTTATATCAAATTCTAAAATAGGAGCACCTGAAAATTAATTTGTAGAGCAAAAAAATGCAAAAAACATAACGATTCTTTTGCTCCCATCTTTTTTATACAATATCCCAATGTATTTTAACCAGAAATTATTTTATTGCTCTAAACCATCCTCAGTTTTTTCTGGAATTTGTCGATGTTTTCAACGTATAAATCCCAGATTGACGTCGCAGATATTGATGAAAGTAAAAAGGAAGAAGTTTAATTAGAGGTTTCTTTAGAATATAATGTTAAGAGAAAGTCTTATTTGCTAACCCTACATACTAGAAGTTATAATTGTTATTGTTATTTATTCTTTTCGCAATTTTTACTATTGTTCACTACTCTAGAAAACATCGCGTTACAAATAATAAAATTATAGGGAAATGTAATCCTTACTATATTTCTTACATGACGACACTAGTTACTAACTGTGCACTGTAGTACGAATTTGTTACTATGGAATAAACTAATCATAATATACAACACGCGTATGGACGAATAAGCTGAACATACTTTCATATTTAGAACAATAATTTGGAATATTACAATCGTAGTAACTTCGGAGCAGCAAGGAATAGCTTCTTGTTGGAATATATAGATTGAAAGACACAAGCGTTTGCAGCGTCTTCATCGTAAAGTGTTTCAGCTAAACAATCGTCTCAAAATTGGAAGGTGGGTAAAGTCAGTTCCTAGTTACTGTTCGGAGAGAAAAAGAAAAAAAATAGGTGATAATGTTTAATCAATTTTGGACAAGTATGGTATCGATTTATTTTTTAGACAATTTGTAAAATAACGATTAGATTTCGAACTACTATGAACCGCTAATGGCCGGAAATTCACTTCGCTAATTGCGGTTTTCTGTTGCGACCGGTATTTGGACACACTAAAGAGAACTTCCGAGAGGTTATGGCTATAGCCTGAAACAAAGACATGATCGAATATATTGACAGAATATATTGTAGCAGACATAATTAACAAAGGAAGTTCTTGGTAACAAAAAAGTTGGACAAAATAAAACAATCTAAACTTGGCAAAAGTCGAACGTACCAAATTGAATTCAAAAGGATTACGAATATTATGTTGTGTAATGAAGATGGATTCGAACTATTCAGGAGACAGTTGGCATGGAAATTAATTATTCATTTTTTTTTTACAAAAAAACCCAATTTGAGAAATTAGACCGTTTAATCTCAGCATGTGTACATTTTGAGTTTTGGATAAACGTTTCAGCAAGCTTCTGTCCAGTCTAAATCTATTCTATTGATGAAAACTGATCAGTTTGAAAACTACTTTGGTTTATTTACCTTCAAATGTATAGTGGTATACGCGTCGCAGCCGAAGAAGGAAGGCATATTATATTTGTTCGTCCATTTGTAACACACTGAAGGACGTCATAGAATCTTCTCTCTTGGTCAGGGAGAAGTTCAAATCTGCTGGTATATGCTTTTATCTGCCAAATTCTTGACTGATGTTGGAATTGCCATAAAAAGTTAAAATTAGTTAGTGGTCACAGATTAAATTTAAAATTAACCATAATCTGTAATTGCTGCCCCTATATTTATGTGCCCAAAATGTATGCTTTGCCAAACTGAGAGTTGATATAAAGGCTCCCCCCTAGTTTTCTTAAAACAATGACCGCAATGTGGCGATGACAATGCGAAACAATAAAGTATTCATGATCGATCAAGTAACACAGCCACACTTACAGTACGATTCCAATTCACCTTATTGTGGTGGTGGAGCCGTAAGATTCTATTTAAACTATCCATCATTCTTTGAAAGAGTTTTTTGTAAATCATTTCAGATTAAAAATACACTTCCTCTTTGCGAACCTGTTCGTTGCTATTTATTGCACACGGTTGTAAGTACTATGACTGGTTTGGTCATTGCAAAATAACGAAAACATATTTAAGAGAGAAAGAAAGTTATGTATTATATTGATTAGTCAAACGTATGAAACTAGATAAAGATTTAATTCAGTGGTTGCGTGTTTAAGATCAACTCTCATATTCTCGCGGTGATCTCCGTTTATGCATGCAATATATTTACAAAATAAGGGAAAACAATTTTTTACAACATTCAACGTAAAAACATTTCTTTTTCAACCAACTTTCAACCAGAGCTCTGCTAACAAATCAAAAAATAAATAAAATTATAATTTTGTTTTGTTTGTAATTTTAGAATAATTCCGTTGTTAGTTGGTTACCGAACATTTGAATCAAATGTTAAATTATGAAATTAGTATATATATTGAATTAAAAGGTGCCGGACGTGGTTGGGTTCTCTGTTTAGAAATTTTAAACTTATAACGGTGCGCAGTGATACTCAAAAATACTATAAGAAAAAAAGAATTTGAAATGAGAATTTTGTTATAGCGGCGTAATGTTACAACTGCGTGTCCACTCAATGTTAAAAACACAAATTTGATTTAATGCATTTTAAATTAGCTCTCAAATATAATAAGTTGTGTGCAATTAACGCTTTCAGAGCGATTTGAATGAAAACATAATTTTTTAAATCAAATATTAAACTATACATTTTGCATTTTTCGACCCGAATAAAATGAATTTATTACAAATTTTCACTTTTCTCTTCATCGCATTCATGATGAAAGCGATTAATTGTGAAGAAGGAACACTTGGTAAGTTCGCAGCGTGGAGGTTATTTATTTAATACAGTTATTTATTTAATTTCAATCGATTTTCTTAAATCATTTTTTATTAATTAATTAATTTTTTTTAATTGTTCATTTATTATTATTTTGTAAAAGCATATAAACTTAAATAATTTCTTGATTTAGTTAATTCGAGCTACACGACCCAGATAATTTTTTCAATAATGCGGAAAAAATTACTTCTTGAAAAATAAGTAAAATATAATCTTGAGTGCTTGGGAAAGCATAAAACAAAAAAATTGTAATGCACTTACTAATTGAAAAGGTGCCAGCTCGACCAATTGAAGCAGTTTTTAGATGATCCTGGTAAAAGTCGATATATGAAAGGGTTTTTTATACCGACCACCGAAGGCTAAGGGTACATTCAATTTGTCAAACCGTTTGCATCACCCATTGAAAATGGGCAAAATCGATCGAGGAATAAGCCTACCCTGTCATATAAACTCTTTCGTTGAGGGGGAAGAAATCCATTTTTTGATAACTACTCACAAACAACAGCAAGTATACCTATCAGAATTTGACTGTATACTCGATCGGCGATGCTACAGCACATGTACTAAAATGGAAAATGTCGGCCCTGATTACTCAATCAAAAAAAACCCCATTAAGTGTATACATTTTTGACCAATTTCAAATGGAATGCAATGGAGCATATCAGTTTGTTAGTTCGTCAGCCCATCTGTCTGTCTGCCCCTCGTACCCAACGGTGCTACAAATTTGCAAAAGAATTTGAAAATCATCTAAACTATTCAAAGAACACGCCCACTATGAAAGAAAAAGCAACAGTGCACTTTTCGCCTTTCTGGCTCGATTGCAAACCTTTCAGAGGTAATAATGTTGGTAAACGGTGTTCTTACCCTTTACTATAAGGATATTGCGCAACTTATGACACCTATGCAAAAAACAATTTATGGATTCTAATCTCAAAAGATTGATTAACGTAACATACCTTTTTTCGGTAATTTTTTAACATTATGAATGGTATGTATTTATCTACTGAAAGTAAATTTTTGTTGATGTGAGGCATGCACTTTTACGCCATACTTTATTTCATTAAACAAGTGAAAATGTTACAACTTGACAAAACCGACAATTACAGCAGAATGCATACATAGTCTTTGTTGAAATTCACAAATAATATTTGAAAATAAGTGTTACCTGTTGCAAACACGAGCTTTAACATGAACATTATCTTCCAGGTAATACGCTGGTAAAAGTATTTTCTATGTTTACTTGAAGAATCACTGCGAAAATATGTACACAGTTTCACAATTAACGAAATATTTTGCAATTTTCATGCACTGGTTTAAAAAAAACTTTATGTATACATAAGTACGCTCTATAGCGAACGCAATTTTCTAACTTATTGTACCTAGTTTAAGACGCGACATTTGTGAGATAGATATTACGTTTTATTTTAAGAATAAAATATATCGTCTAAGAATAAAATATATCCACGATGATGTAACGATTATCTAAAGTACATTAATTTCTTAATCCATTTTCGGTATAATACAACCAAACTTGACAATCTACTACCAGAAACTTTGGGAGATGTGATATTAAATCCCATTACCGAATTTGATTTTGTACTGCACACTGAAGTCTGCGGAATATTTTTGACTTTGTTTTTGTTATTTATTTAACAGGGATTATCTGAACATTGATTGCGATTACAATCACTCGAGTGTGACGGGTTTTTATATTTACCAACAACCAAACGAGCTAGTTTGCTTGTGTAATGAACAAAACACTACATGCTGAACAAAGTATCCTTATTTATCATCCGGCGAATACATTTTCCGAAGACCTTTTGGCGTATTTCTCTGATCCTGCGATATTTATTGGAAAATTTGTTTAAGTTTTACAAATTTCGGAAATTAATCATAAATGCAAAGAAGTTCTAGACCAGTGGCTCTTCTTTTTTTAAAAGGCAGACTAGATGATTAGTCTAGTCACTTTATTAAAGGCAATTTTTAAGTCGATGTCTGTCGAGTCTGTCTGCCTGTCTAGTGCAGGTTTTCAACATAGAGCTTGCAAACTTTCAGATATTTTCATAAAATTAGATATTTTGATATGCTTTAATCAGAGACGAATTTGTTGGACCGGACCATTCCTTCATTCATTCATATCCCTCTTACGTAAAATAATTTTCTTGTGAAAATTGAACTAAAGTCTAATATGAACGTTCTGATAAAAAACAAGCCTTTATTTGTGCTCGATATCCAATCCAAACATCTAGTAATCCATATATAATCTATGTGTTATTTATATATATTTATGATTTTTAGAAAAACTAACTATTTCTGGTGCAAGTCGCGTTGAACCAGTACCACAAGGACGTTCCTATGCTAACCGGGGATATTATGATGTAACAACTGAATGTTCTGTTGGGACAGAATGCACTCCCCTGCAGCATTGTACAACTATGGTTTATGAAGTGGCTAAAATGTGTTACTATGGCGACAAGTCATTTTTCTGTGGGGCTAGCGGGGATGAAGTGCCATATGTATGTTGCCCGAGTAATCCGCTGGAAAAAAATCAGATATGCGGCCGGACGTTGGTGCAAGGACAATTTTATCGGGGATTGGGTACATATCCATTCATCGCTAGAGTGGGCTTTAAACGTAACTTTATTTAAAATGACTTATTAAGTTTTTATATTTTTTCATATTCATTTTCCAATAGACATAAACACAGGTGGTTTCGCTTATCCATGCGTAGGCTCTATTATAGCACGGCGTGTGATACTGACAGCAGCTCATTGCGCTTTGGCGAAAGCGGAAGGCCATAGGCTGTAAATATTTCCACTGCAGTTGGTTTTTCCGTTTCTTTCTGATAAATTTTATTTTGGCAGATCATCAGTGAGAGTAGGTGAATACGATACTTCAACTGATCCTGATTGTGCTAGCACTGGATTTTGTGCTCCTCGTTCAATAAATCATGCCATCAGTCATGTTATTGTTCACCCCGATTATAAACAAGGGCAATATCATCACGATATTGCTCTGCTAATATTGAAAACTCCGCTTAACTATTCAGGTGAGTTGTTGTTGTTCATGTGAACCAAGCAATTACAATTTGATTTATATATGTTAATGAGTGATCCAGCGGAAATGATTGTTTCTAAAAATTATAAATAGAACATAAATTTGTTTAATAATTAATTATAACATACGCTGCAATTTCTATACACACTACAGCTTGTCCGTGTACTACAATTTCCCAATAAGAAATGTTAAATTATTTGTAAGTTTTTAGATGTTTTGTCACACTTACCACTACTTTTTCAAGGCCTGATAATAATAAAAAGGTAATAAAAGAGAGAGGAATTATGTTTGCCTTGTGCGAAACCTTTAGTGCTAATTACATGGAGACATATGATATTTAATTGTGATAAGAAACGATGGCACCTTTTTACAAACCATTTTTTAAATCGATTTGAAATCATTTCTTAGGTAATTGTACAAAGTAAGAGCTACATTCTCCTACTACTCCATTTGGCTTTCGCTTGTAAGTTTTACTAGGGAAAACTAGCGTTCAATTTAGAATATTAAATTAATATCTCCGTATTATTTAAGGAAAAGAAGAAAATTGGTAATTTTTGGTAATTGTGATTTAGCTGACTTTTGAAAAAAAACTAACCGGTGTTGTAAAAGACAATTTAAATGTGTTTTTCTAGACATAGCTTTCAGGTCGGTTTAAGGCGATTTACATGCAGACGTACACAAACAAAACTACCAGTCATGGTGATCAAAGTAAGATAAGATTTTTGCTGCGTATCTTTGGGAAAATTTAGTGTACTAATTTTGGTATATAGGCGCTAAAACATGAGTAAATTTATTTTTCTAAGAAGAATTATATCGGAAGCACTTACAAAAATATATTAATCCGATCCAAAAATTTCAGATTAAATACGCTAAAACACTAGTTTTCGTATATCTGGAGCGGTTTTCCACAATGAAATCTTACCACACACAGATGCGACAATTTCGATTGTTGACATATTCACCATCTGAAGAAAATGTGCCGCGGAAAATCGTCATCGTCGTTGTTCAAACACCCAATCAGCTTATCTCCTACGTGTCGCATGATCAACCGCCTTCAGTTTTTGCGTTAGCTTGTTTTGGTGGTCATTTCTTCGGACTCATTTCTTGGTGATCAAAAATGCATATATATCACAATATAATGAAGGAACAGTGGTGGCCATTTTATTGCTGTATTGCTATATCTGTTGTGTAATTTTCGATTTACATCTTGCAAATATGCGGTTTTTGAGACTCTGCCGAAAAGGACCCCTATTTGTGTGTAGCCATAACAATGGATTCATCGCTCGAGAATAATAAGCATGTTAATCAGAAGTAATAATAGAGGGAAGGCTAGAACATTTCAGATTAGAGCTGCAATAAAATTTGGTTTATTGAGGAGGATTTTTTTTGTTTTAATAGAAAAAAATATGAGATATGAAGAGTTTTGTTGAAACTGCATCAATTATTGTTCATAGCATTTCTTAGTGATAGTTTTATTTATTTGATATATATAATGTATATATAATAACCGCTATCCATACGAAAGCATAAAAAGTTTTTTTCGCACCTTGCCTCTCTCGTGAGAGTTGTGTTTTCGTACTTAATATCTATTTTGTATGTTTTGTGCGTCAACGGTTTTTACTTAAAAAAACTAATCACTTTTGCCAAGATTTTTATGTACACCGAATATGTTAATTTGTTTCTATCATTCAATTGTCCAGGATTTCCGCAATTAGATTTGTCCGATGTACGTCTCACGAAGTAAGGTAAACATCGCGCGTATTATTTACTTCAAATTAAAAAATTTGTGCTGCTTCTGTAAAAATAGCTATCCAATAAATCAATGAAATCGGTTTGTGATCTATTGATTCTTTGATTCACTTTGGAATATACAGTTAATTCATGCTAAAAAAATGCTGTGCAACTGATGCGGCACACGCAAATATACCTTTCTTCTACAACTCGTGTCCCCACTATATATCTGTCCTCTTTCTTCGTGGAGACGATTTTAGGTTTAAAAACAACAAAACAAGTCAAAATTTTAAAAAATAATAAAAATCTTTTTTATCTTACTACATCTAGGCTTATTTTTGTAAGAATTTTTATTTGTAGAAAGGCCTCAACAAATAATCCCCCTCCATACAAGTTTTCCACATTTACTAAGTACGCTAAAATATTATTGGTTACCGAATTTTGTCGCATAATACTAAAAGGTGTTCCTCGTAAGCCCGCTTCGTCAAAATTATAAAGGAGGTGATCGGAACGACGGTTCGAATCAATCCATTAGCCGACCCAATTCATTTCGTTCATATCAATATACTGAATTTAGTCACAAGAGTGTGCCATAAATGTTTAGTACAAAAATATGTATGAGATGATCGCCAACAGAAAAAGGCGTAGAGACTCTTAACTGATTTAGACAATGATTCTGATTCATTTGGTAAAATAAAAGGTGATCTCACAAACTTAACATAACCATACGCCAAGTTTGGAGGCGCAATTAAATATATTGCAGAAAAGAAGTTTACTAGAAGGTTTTAGACATCTATTAAATATTAAATATCGTTCGGTGTCATTTGTTAAAGCTTTCATTTTTTATTAAGATCGACTTCAGTACTGGCCCGCCAAACGGGGCCTCAGATATCTAAGAGGTTCGCATTGAAATCTCGGTATGCATTTGCCTTTTATTAGGACAAAGTACCCCTACGCAGTATATTGGAGACGAAGTATTTCTTTACATATTTAAAATATAAATGAACTTCAACTACGTTACGTTAAATTTCAACTATCATTTAATGAATAACTTTTTGGATGTTTGACATTTTGATATCAAAATTTTAAAACTTTTACATTTCACCATATTTTGTCTTTGTTGCAAGCACAATGATTAAATTAGTATGCGTTATCGCCTCTAAAGTATAGTATTAAGTCATAAGAACTGTTTATTGCTAACAGTCATTTTCTGTTGACTGACTTGTATGCGCTATTGTGTTAAAATTTGAAATATTGATGGTTGGCAAGAGCATGATTAATAGGGCTTTTGATGAATAAACGTACAGACAAATGAAGCAGGCTTTTTATTTATTTTGTTAAGCCTGGCGGGGCCAATTAGATGAACATCTTGTAATGTAAAGCAATTGAATGAAATGTGTACAAAGCTTACATGGTGATGTATACAAACTACTAAAGAATTGAGATAAATGTTTATTGGTATGAATTATTTCATATGTGGCTTCAGTAGTGGCTGCAATACTCTATTTTCGCCTAGTGCCCGTAATAGCGTTGTTAAATGGCCAAGAATACATAACAATTATGAAACATTTAGGGGCGTTGTGCTAACGTAAACAATTTAATCATAACCCACAAAGAAAAGTAAATTATCGGAATTTCCTTTCAATTCAAAAACGCTTAATCGACTCTAAAAAAAAAGAAGGAAGAACCAAAAATTATTGCAACATTATAAATTGAAAAGTTATTAACATTACAGTTGTTGTAAACTAAAATTCAATCAGTTGTTACGATTGGAGTCTTTCAATCAAAAGTTCAAATCACTTATTTACTTTTTTGGTTGCAGGTTTAAATCAACGGAAATGTTTACGTTATATAGCAATGTCAGGTTACTGACTAAACTTTTGCCGTTTTCCAGAAAAAACCGTACAGGGAGCTAAATTAAATCGTAAAAAACCTATGGATTAATGACAATGGATTTAATGACAAAAGCGCGTGCCGGAACTATTTGTTTTTAATTTTTTTTATCTAAAAGCGATTAGTAGATTCTTTTGTTGAAAATTCCATTGATCAATTATGGCATTAATATGTCAATTCCTTCTTTATTTCGGAACACATGAGACATAACGTTTTTAATGCCATTTTGATACGCTCGATTTTCGGCGACAGCCGGCCGGACACTTTTACACCGATATTTGGAAAAATTTTCGAAACCGCAGATGCGGGGTACTGTTTACTTAAATTAAAAATTTAATATACGCTATGTTCCAACTTTCTATGTAAATTTTTGCTATTACAAAGTGCAACTTGTTGAGACTTATAAGGGGGCTCTAGCGCTAAGTTACGTTATTTACAGAAATGCTTTTCAAGTATATCAATATTCTGAATAATTTGGGTGGCATAAACAATCGCATAAGTTTGCCATAATTCCAAATAAATGTGAAATCTTTCCAAGGACCGGTTCATTTTTGTGGGAATATATTGTCATTGAAGAGGTGCTGATGTTATCGTTCATCAAAAGCACCGTTCGAAGTGTTCCATATATTTTTTGCTTTCTTATTTCAGTGGCTACTCAACCAATATGTTTACAAAAAACTCGTGCTAATTTGGTGGTGGGGAAAAGGGCGACAATAGCTGGTTGGGGTAAAGTTTCTACGTCAAGTATGCGACAACCTGAAATGTCATACTTGGACGTACCGTTAACTAGTTGGGATTTATGTTTGCGAAATTATGCTAATACAGGTGCTTTGGAATCGCCGGGATCCATTGATGGCCAGTGGATGTGTGCGGGTGGTGAGGGTAAAGATGTATGTCAAGGATTTGGTGGAGCACCGCTTTTCACACAAGAGAACGGAATATTCTCTCAGGTGAAGTTCTTAAGACGTCATAAAAGAAATAAATAAAGCTTATCATCATTTAGGTCGGCATTATGTCTTTTGGATCCGATAATTGTGGTGGCCTACGCGTACCTAGTGTTTATACTTCTGTAACGCATTTCGTAGATTGGATTCAAGATAATACACCAACGGAGTAAATTTATAGCCATTCCATTTCATTTCGTTAAAGTGTGTCGAATTCTGCAGGTGAACAAATGACTATAAAAAGGTGCTTAATTGTAAGGATAATTATTCTTTTCTGTACACAAATTTGAAATCTAAATTTTTGATTGCATACCGCTAAGTTCTTATTTATTGTATTGTACGAAATAAAGAAACATTATAAGAAAAAGTTAACTGACGTGGTACATCAAGCAATTAAGAGGTCGAATTTTAGGTATTCATATAATTCATTCATTTCCTACCTAGAGTAGCACCGAGAAGAAAAATTACATATCTCTTCCTCTTTTTTACAAGATATATTCGTTTAATACGTTAAATTAGTTGTGGGGCAATGTTGGGACTCAAAATTGATTTTTCCAGGGACACTTTTTTAAGTCGAACAGTTTTTTTTCGCACATTTGATAATACCTTACTGTACTCCAATAATTTTAACAAATAAAAAGGAAAGAGCTCTCAGCAAAATAAGTTACTGCATATGATTTTGTCTTCTATTGCCTTTGTGTTTTTTGTTTTCCATCACCACAAATTTTATGGAACAAAGGGTCACCTTTATTGGAACTTCAGAAGAGATTGAAGTCGATCAAAGCGCAAATATGAAATACTACTAAGCCAAACACGTAGACCGTATCTAAATTTAGTGTTTTCTGAAATATTAATATATGCTATGGACGCCTTTGTTTTTTAACACTATATTTAATCTATATGGCATACTTTGAGCAATTTTTTCGCAAGCACTTGGTTCAATTTTTTTGCCATTCGTACTGAACTCCAACTCGTCCTTGGAACTTACAGCGTGATGGCGAATTTTCGTATCGAGATAGCTGCACAGATTTGTAGGGCTATTTATCGTTTATATCTGGATTCTTGATATTCGGGTAATTATATAGCAACCAGCACAGCAAATTTTAAGCTTTATGTCATTTACTTTGCGAAGGTATAAACTTCCTTTCAAAATAATAAGGCACATGTACTGATCCATAAAGCACAACAAAACAACAAAATGAAATACATCGGGCCAAACGCAGAAAATGAACGCCACACTACCGTACTTTGCTATTTGCTACATAAATTTGACAAGGAGTGCTTCATTCAACCTTTTCCTTTTAACAAGTTACCTAATCATAAATCAACATTTAAGAATTTTGCAAAGAAATTTAGTTTTAGGGATTTCTCTAAATAGCTTTTGAAATATTTATCTTTATTTTAATAAATAGGGACAAATTTTGAAATTTATTTGTGCCATTTAATGTAGAATATAATGTTACAAAAAAATAAGAAGGATTACTGAAGTGAAGATAACCCCCCAAGATAACCCACATTTTACGATTCGTGTATTTCACTAAAATTGTCTTTGCCAAGCTAGAATTTATTGCACAATAAACAACAATCAAGTAAAATAAGTATTAAAATTAAATAATCTTAGCAAACGTGCACATATAAAATATACTAAGCCGCTAATTACGAACGCAAAAGCAAAAATGCTTAGCTATTGCTAGTAATTCTCATGCAAAAGTACGTTACAAATACTGAAAGAATGCAATGTTAAAATCGTGTTATAACCATTTTTAGACTATAGATTTTTGATACGTCGTGAAAAATGCTAAAACTTATCAGAAAATCCTAATTTCATTACCCTGGTCAAGATACATCCCCTCGAAATTCGCCAAAAACCGGTCCGCTCCGTATACACAAGACCGTGAAAGCAAAATGTTGCAATAATATTGCTAAAGAAATGTTTGAACTTATATACATAATGTTTTTGTTGAAATTAGATTTTTCGGATAGGTTTTAGCGTCCTTTAAGATATATCAAAAAACTGTACATGTCATATTTCTTAAAAATTTTTTATACACACTTTATATATAGCGAATTTTCGCCAATGCTACATATGCAATATATGGTAAATACAAGAAACTTTTTTTTTTTTAGTTTCTTATACAATTTCTTATTTCATTTATGGTTGTATTTTTTGGAAAAAATAATACAGTTTGAAAAGGTGCAATTTCCATGATGGTAAAACCTAGAGGTTTCATTTGTCAGATGCAAAACAGAATGACGCAATCGCATGCTGCGATTGGTAAGTAAAAAGAAGGAATTACCTAATTGCAAAAGCTTAAGTGCTCTGCGGCTTTTAAAGGTTGTTTTATGCGTGTGGGTAGATTTCTAAACCTATCCTATAGTGTTATATATATATGTACATGTTCACATGGGAATTTGTGCGGTAAAGGAAAGCGTGCAAAAATGCAACCATACTAGCTAATCTTAAGAAAGTTTTGTACTCATCGCTTGGAAATTGGATGTATACCAATTCCTTTGTTTCGCTTGCAATGGTCAAATATTGGCTTCAAATATCTTACAGATCAGCAGTTACCAACTTCTAAAGACGGCCTATTGTTAGAAGAAGCATTAAAAATATTGGTAATGTGACTTATATCAATTAAAGCTTGTTTAGATTACTATAAGAAAACATAAGTTAAAGGGGTTTAGATAAAAATACTCTTTTGGGAGAACGTAGCAGCATAGAATTTTGATACCAATATCCTCATCAGGCATACAGACGCTTGTTAATCAATTTCAGTTGTAGAGCTAACGTCGAAGGATGCGATTATCTTAGCTATGCTTTTCTATTTTGGGTCCTATAAATTTTGTCGACCCAGCGTTCAATCGTTTATTATTTAAATGCGGACAATTGTAAAAATTGGAGTGGAAAGTCGACAGTAACGCAACTTTTTCGATCTAAAGCTATGCGAACAGAGGGAAAGGAGGTAATAAATACGATCAAACCTATTATTTACGAAATTTTGAAAAAGAAAAAATGTATTTATACTATGGAGGCATGTAAGAAAGCGAAGAATTATCATATATTTTCTCGAATCAAATCCACTAAGGAAAACGACATCGAAATGAGTTTTTAGAAAGTGATTTTAAAATTCTTATATCTTTGCGCTAATATCTTTACTCAAAGTAAATATTAATTGGAAGTTTTGAATACTCGGCCCACTAGCACGTAAACAATTAAAGAAGAGGTCAAATCTTACATTAAGCATTTGCCCGAATTTGTTTAAAATTCGTTCAAAACTGATTACGACAAATTTCTTACTTGTTTTTATAATACTTGTCATATTTAGTAGAATTTTAACAAGTAACGATAAAATAAATGAAAATAAATAAATTTCGGAAATGAGACAATCTTTAAAGGAGGGAAAAGCACATGCGAATAACATTTCTTTCTTAGAATATTGCTGTCTAATGAATTCATTTACATTTTGCCAAACAAAAATAATTCAATTGTAGCAATTGAACTTCAATATAACCTTTCATCACAAAATTATGCATTGATCTTCCTGAGTGTATTTAAATAATTAAAATAGAAATTGAGTCTAAATAATGTAAAAATATTTTTGTATTGAAAAAGAGATATATTAAAGAATACGATCAAAAACTAATATATAATTTCACGTACATCCATAAAAAGTCTGTCACAAAAGTTCGCAAATTTCCAGAGAGAAAGCTTGCGTCTCGCCAAGCTTAGTGTATAAACTCCACATTGTATTTTAAAAATGGCATGATAAGCTTCTAAATTGCTTCAAACAAACTCAAGTAACTTTCGATCGCTCAATTGTTACGATTACGAAACAAATTTTAGAAAATTTCAGTCGGATCCTGTTTTTCCTATCTTTGTCTCTTGAATATCTCTCAAAGAGACTACCATTTCGTTTTTTCCGCTGCATCAATGCAAAATTTTTCGAAAATATTCTCCCAACGATGTGAAAATTTTTTGCAATAAGTAACAACGTTGTCTGTTAAAGTGAAAATGCTAGGCTAAAGAAAATTTGCTGTCGTATTTTACTTATATACATCATATTTCGTAGTTCACGCTGGATATTCAACCAATTGTATTAATTGGGGAATATAGCTTAACCAAAACTTTTTCCGCTTAGTCTAAATAGGAGCCATTTAAGTTGTTTACATTCCTTTACGCTTTAGGATATAGTACGAAGTTTATTTGGCCGTCGAATAAGTCGAATTGTGCTGACACATAAATGGCGACAGTTGTCTGCTTAATACGCAAAAAAATATAGCAAAGTCTTATTGAGTACTGTTGGAAATCTGTAGGAACTACAGTGAATCGATAAAATGAATTAAACGCTGGCTCCGATACTTTGAAGGCGACTATAAAAAAATTGAACGATAGAAAATTCGAGACATTACATTGAAGGCTACAAAGGGTTTGACAAATTTTAAGCCGGATAAATTTAGACAACGAATCTAAAAGCATGACTGAGAAGCCACACGATTATGTGATCTATAAGTTAAAATCAGAAGATGTAGTTGAGTCGCGCATTAAAAGAAAGGCACCTGCAAAATTCAAAACAATTTTCAGGCTTCAATATTATAAGTAATCAGTACCATATACTTAACGTCCTTGTAAATAGTAAATCTTTATTGACTTTTCATTCGCCACTGATTATTTACAAACGAGTTGGGACAAACGGATAGAAAAACACTATAGTACGTTTCCGTTGATTTCTAAGCGATTTTTTGCTTTTTTTCTTTCTGTTTTTTACTTTTGCACACATTAATCAGGCTATTATGCTCGTACTTTCGTTTGAAGCATTCGGAAATATGTGTTTTAGAGAAATATATATATATATATATAACCCTAATTAAAATAAAAATTCTACTCGATTTTGACCGGATTGCCAGTCCACTTACACTTACACTAACACTTACATTTTTACAGTTACCAAGATTGAGTCAAATTCATATATTTTGGGAGTTTTCCTCTTTGATTGTATTAGTTATAATTTACTAATTTTTAGGAAAATGCTCGCGAACAATGAAGGTTAACCGAGATATATATTTCCAGTCGAGTTAACGATGAATAAAGTATTATAAGATCAAATAAAAGGAATTCAATGTCCCGTGGTGTTGCAGATATTTACGCTACCTCTGCAAAAATTGTAAAAAATTAATAGTAAAAACGTTTGCTTTTGAATGAAACAATTGAGTTATTGAACTTTTTTATCTTCATTTTATAAGGGTTCCCAGAGCATATCGCCTCGTACCGGCCTTAGTTTTAATGTTTATACACAATTTCGTGCAAGGATTCGCCCAGATTTCTTTCCTACTTTCTCTTTCGCCTGTTTTCGGGCTAAAAGCAGACACGATAAATGTTGATGTTTGGGCAGATATTTTGAGAAAGTATTAATGGAGATACTTTACGTGAATGAAATTTTAAACAAAATACAATTATAATCCATTTTAGTTTAATAATATTCCTAATAATTAGATAAATATGAATTAGACATCAAAAGTCTATATTCATAGTTCTCATGACTGGCGGGTGCAACAAATCAATTTAGCTATGTCTCTTTCTCGCTTACTCGTTCATTTAAATCACGATTTTAACTTCGAAACTTCGGCGAGAAAGACAGATTTCATCTTAAACATCTTCATATTACTCTCATTAGAATATGTTCAACTGATCATTGGTCCAGAATATGTTTCACTTTCTTTCTAAGCTATGAGATCAAAACTACAATTTTTTGATTAGAGCGTACCGAAAACGCTCATACGTAAATATGACTTTTATTTGGCTATAAAATTCCGGCGAAAAAATTTAATTTGACCAATGCGAAGGGAGCTACGGCTACAAAATCAATATGCTTCCGACATACAAAGTATATGATGTAGTACGCGTTAAATATATTAAGTGACGGGATCTTTGTAAACAAATATTGTAAATAAACTTTACAACTAGGTATTAATTAATAGCTTCAACTCAGGCTTAATATATAATGATATCTTCCACATTTTATTTTCGCAATAAAATAAAGTTTGGAGAAAGGTACGCACCGATTGCGAGGAGAACGCCGAAAACTAATTGCCGTTACTTCGCCAAAATCTATTGTCCAATCCCATCATTGTTGATGTAAGTTAAAATAAGATTTTTTTTTCGAATGACATTCCGGCATTCACACGGTTAACTATGTGTCGCAGCGTTTGCGAAATTCGTACTCTATGAATTTGTGCATTTTTGCCATTCAACTTAGTATAACTTCAGAGTTTTACACTTTTTTTGTACATACTTTCTAGATAATTTTATTTAAAATAAAGAAACTTTTCATATTCGAATATTTGATATCTATGCGATGGGTATCCCAAATTCGCTTTAAGGCAAGCTATACATCTCCCTTGATATGTTTGATGTTTTTTTAATGAACAAATTCAGGAAGTCTTAAGATATCAGTCATTATGCAGTTTTTTCTTCTTTTGATCTTAACGCACACCCTCCACTGTCTAACAAGCTAGGTAACATATGACACAGGACAGTCGTTTTTTTTTTTATTGTTCATTGTATGCCTGCGAAAAAAGCGTTTTCTGTGTATAAATTCACTGTATGCAATGGAAGAGAAACACAATAGAAACTAATTTGTTGGCTAATATGATGATGGCAAATGAATAAAGGCACATAAAATATATATAATATTATTTTTCAATGTCAATGAAATAAACAACTATGGGTTCTATTGCTGCTATAGCCAGAATAACATAAATGTTAAATTAAAATCGGCTGGCCGACAAATCCATAAAATAATGAATAACATATAGAAATGGAAGAAATTAACACGAACAATAGCGCACGAATATATCTATAAACAACATCGGGAAAAATTGCAACTTCTTAAGAAGCCACTATGGCGACTACTGCATATACAACATAGAAACTACAAAGATAAGGTTATGTTTTAATTTCAAGCGTATGAATGAACGCCAATTGCATGCAATTCCAGGTTATTGAGCGGTCATTAAAAAGGAATCGGCATAATTATTTTATAGATTTTAAATAAGTGAACATATGCGTATCCCTCTGTTCAAATATGTTTTAATTTAAACAAGCATTTCAATCACAAAATATTATCATGATTGGAATATTACATATTTTATTATAATTCGCTTGTCAAGCAGATAGGATGCGCTTCTATTTCGACATAAATTTTTAACTATTAAATCTATAATCTGAAATGATTTTTAATACATGCGCAATTGTGGAAAGTAAAGATCATTTTCCTCCACTCTTGGCGTGATTCTTATAAGCGGAGAACGTTTTCTTTTGCTCACTTCACTCAATGTTATATCCGTTAACTTGTTAGACATGTTTCATAAAAGACGTAATTTTGGCAACTACAAAATTAGCAAGCTGAAGTCAATAATAACGACCCTAAATTCTGAAAGACGCGACTTCCGTAGTCATTGTCTTTTGCCAAATTGCAAGATCGAATTATAGCCGTCTTTGTCGTTCATACTCAGTAGTCTATGTAAGGCTAAACGAACATTGAGTGAAGCCTTCGAACATTACTCACCACCACAGCGATGTCCGTAACATCATCATTCAGTTCGTAATGTTCGGAAATGAATGGACTCTTTTATATGTGTCTAGACTGAATGAGACCTGCCCTTCCCGCGCGACGTTACTTTTCTCCTCGCTAATTAAGTGTTGTCATCCGAATTATCCGTTGCCATCTGATTTGTCGCTGAAGATGAGATTTGCACTACCGCAAACACGGTTAATTCTTCGGAAACTGCTTTCTAACCAACTGGCGACGAAGTCGGTCGCAGCCAAATGAATCGAGCATATTAACATGTTTTCTAATGTGCCTTTAAACAGCGAAAGATATTTTTCCGTTTTGCATAAAAAAAGTCAAGAAAATAAAACAATTTGATTCTAGCACACGCACTGATTATTTAACCTCTATATACGAGAGTGAACTATCCGCTCTGACGTAACGATGGAAAAAATTTAGTGCGGTCACAAAAACGGTATTTATTTGTCTGCGGATATGATATTTGTTTATGGACGGAACTTTTCCAAGTCTCGGAAGAGTCATACAGAGTCCGAAAAGGATCATACATGTACATAGTAACCTCCTTTCTTTTTTTGAAATAATTTCCCATTCTCATTTACGTTTTCGTATGTTTATTCTTACTTCTTTTTATGCCTGAAAACATGCATTTGCCTGTGGATCGAAACAAATGGCATTTTGCAAATTGCATTCTGCATACTAGAAGATCTTTGGAAGCGTATTTAAGCTATAAAACCAGCACATTTCAAATATTGTTGCTCATACGATTCCTCCTTTTATATCAATCACTTAAGGTTGATGGTATATTCATTTGTCCAAACCTTTGTAACACTTACAGAGAATCTATAAAGCATAGATATTCTTGAATTGACTCAAATTTTTGATCGACTCAGGTGCATATCAGGTCCCCTGCGTGGATAGTTACGCGAAACATTCTCTCGACCGTAAATTTTAAAAGGGGGGAAGAGATTCATATTGAGAATGGGGCTACATCTATAGCATAGCATAAACTTAGAAAATCCCTGTTTGCCAAAGCAAAAACATTTGGATTTGTTATTTATAGCACACAAGACGTAAAGCCACCCCAGCGCATCAAATATTATATTGCATCGAAATGCATTTTTTTACACATCTGTATACTTCTTTTTAAGGTAAAAGTGATGAATATGCAAGATTGGGCTAAAGCAGAATATAATTCTCTTCACTGTTTTTAGTTTCGGCTCAACATTTTTAGTACTAGAGGGGAAATAGGGTACGAGAAATTTTTTCAATTTAATTAAAAATATTTAATAAAAAAATGAAAACTCATAAACTGGGCTCATAAAATTTCGACATTTAACCTTGCAAGCATGTATATCTATTATAAACATTTTTCTTTAATTTAATAAAAATTAGAGTGAAAAAAAACAGTAGAACCTAAATTTCTTAGATGCCATTGCCTCATCGGCAAATATGTTATTAATTAAAAGCTATGAAAATGAATTTAAAATAAATTTTTTTTTTTATTTATAAAACTATAACATTTTTACAAGGTATCATACAAATAAGAAAACTGAAATAATTTACGACCGAAGGCATTTTTATACAATTCATTCATACGTTTTCAACTTATTTATATAAGTCAGTCTTCATGTGCAGTTTGAAGTACGCTATCGTAGTAGTTATTGGTGTCAGTTGATTTTTAAACTTTTTGTGAGAGTATTACAAATATATACATATACATATGTTTGTATGTATGTGCTTATAATTTTTATACATCTTGGACGTTTCGTATGCACGACAGCACAGTTTGCTATTGGACGTGATGAGTAAATGTTCGCTCGTTTTGTGATACTATTCAACATTGATAGAAAGAACCAACCGCGTGTTGCCTAAGAAAAAGTCAAATATTATGAATATTTTTCCAAATAAGTAAAAATGTTATAAACTCAATAAATTAAAAAAAAAAAAAACCAAAAAAAAGAAATTTAATAAAACATGCAATAATTAAACAACTTTTGCCTCTAAGTTGTTTAAAAATTTGAGGAATTGAAGTAAATAAAAAACAAATGGAAAGGATTTAATTATTTTGGATACCCGACCAATTCGCGGTAATTGCGAAGAGCAAACTATAATTTCTTCTCGAATTTTTAAACCCGAGCGCTTGCGCATCATATCGAACTGGACTTCGATTTATTTTATAACCAATGGTCAACTAAATTTAAGTTTGCTGCCTCGCTAGCAAGCGTCTTTTTTCAGTTTGGTTTAATGGCACGAAATTTAATAAAAATCCTGCCAAACATTTTGCAAACATGTTACACAATTTTTCCTTAATTCTAGGACCACCTAGGTCGGGATCGCCCATACGCGAAATTTAAATTTGCTAATAAAATTTTATTGATTTTTTCACAATTTCTTTGGTTTTGCTTCAATTTTTTCAACTGTTTATAAGCGAATCAGAGATGTTGTGAAATTTGATCTTTATAATTGTGTAAACAGAAATTACTTAGTCGCGCGTTTTCTCTCCCATATTTACTAACTCGGGGAACTACGACAAAAAGCAGAGTATTGTTTCATTTGCCTCATTGCAAAATATGAATTGTAAAAAAGATATTTATCAATGTAGCAGCCAAAGACTTCTTAAGTAAAAGTTTTAATTCAATTTGAAAAGTATTTTTTATTTCTTGAGCATGAAATTAAGTTTAAAAACAGCAATTTGTTGAAATTTTTGATTTCATTTCAATTTGTTAACGTTCCTAGATGTATTAATGAGCGTTCATACAGATTGCGATCTGTATATGATCCTTGAGATCATTATAACTGTACCAAATATATACAACTTAAGTTTCGATTGCTTTCTCTTTTTTTAAGCCTTTGACGAAAAACGGGCGGCCATAGTTCAATTAATAAGCAACCACAAAGTGGAGTGATAGAGTATCCGACTCTCTTGATACTATCATTCACACTCAGAGTGCAAACAATTATCTATTTGCGTCCAGAAAAGTCCCAATTAGTATATGTTATTTAATTTATAACCAGTCTGTCACATGAAAGTCTCGGCAAAAGATAGACGCTAGTTAATTTAAATTCAAATAAGAACAAAAAATAAAAACAGAAATTAATTAAGTGAACCAAGATTTTTTATTGGCTTATTCCGCATACCAAAGTTCTACCGAAAATCAAGCATGTTGATTGTCGCACGCTTTCAGCGGAATACTCGAAATACAGAAACCTACCTGGACGAGAAGATACTAATTTCAGTTGTAATCTTTACATTATTTTGAGAAAGTACGTTCAGTTTTGAGCGTACATAAGTTTCGTGCGCGTAATTTGCAGAAAGCGTTGATTATTTAAGTTTATCGCGGTTGTACACAAGGCGGTACAATTTTTTGAACCGAAAACTTACTTGTTAGATCTGTAAGCTAAACATGAAATAATAAAGCACAACTTCAAAATCGGAAAAGCAACACGTGTAATGTTAAAACAACGGATATCAGAAGTAAGGATTGGAAATTGAAAATCGAAAATTGAAATCACGACAAGAACTGAAACTAAGCCAAATCCAAAACTATCAAATAAGGGGTTTAAGCCAGAAACACAGTCGCTATAAAGTGTGATGTACGAGTTTAAAATCGGAAGCTCTCAAATAGTTACCCGCTGTACCGAATCGAGAAAGAATTGATTTCCCATGCGATGCGGCTTCTGCTGGTGACGAAAATCGTTTTTAGCGTGAATTTAGTAGGTTGTTAGAAGAGATAGATGTTTACGAACAATTTTTGCTAGATATGGCTTCCTTTTCGACTCATGTGAATAGATCAGTGATTTGTCGCCCGTTTCGTCACCGTATTTCTTAATCATTTACTTACGCTAATAGACACGAGCGTGGTTTTGGGGTCTGTCAAATTATGTGAGATCTAACGAGAAAAAACCTTTTCCATGGCTGAACGATTATTCAATATTTTATATATGTTAGTGGAGCTAATGTCTAAGGTTACATCAATCCCACAGTATGTCACATATCGACCTTGCATTATTAGTTTTTGAAGAGTGGTAATGTTCCGTGGAACAATTACTTTTTTTTTGGTGTCACAATGGTAAAAGATGGTGCCTCATTGACAATCCATGTCGAAAGACTTAAAAAATCAACGCACGAAAGTTTTTACGAGTTAATTACATTTTTACACGGATGTGGCTGATTTTTTCATTTTTGTAGAATGCGCGCGTCTGTCCTAGTTACAATCCACGGAAGCAGAAAAGAAGAGATAAAGGTGTTCTCAATTTACGTTGGTTTATATTCGTGTCTTTTGTCCGATTTGGTCCATTTTCCTCCAAACAAGAATTTTTGCCATATCTTACTTTTTGCGACTGGCAAAATGTTTAGCCCATAACATACATAATAAATGTGGTCTTTAAAGCTTCGTTCTGAGCAGAGCGAACGTTTAACGACAATAAAACTAGTAAGAACATTTTAGTTCAGCCGGGTCGCCATTAGATACGCTATACCGATTCGCTTATTACAGTTATTCACTCGTTTTTTTAATAATGCGACAAAAATTATATATATATATATATGAATATATATAAGATACGCATATATTATATATGTTAGGGTTTAACAAATAGACTTTTGTGATCAAACTTCTCTGCTTTTAATTTTTTAGGTTAATTTGCTACTATGGACCAATTGCCATCATAAACTAATGAAAATAAATTTTTTTCTGAAACGCTTCCTATTCAAGAAGAAAGGGTTTCCAGGAAATAGAGCCATGTAGTTCAAACTTGGTTTCGCTTAATTTTTATATCAAATTACTATCAGGAAAAAATTTTCATGAAAACACATTGACAATTTGGTTTATTTGGCATATAAGGTTTTATAATTCCTAAGAATCATTATATGCGGTGGCATACAAAAAATGAACCTACGTGGTCTCAATTCGGTAAGGTTGATTTCTTCGACAATTTATTTTTGTGGCACAATTTTCGCCACGCAATATTGAAAATTAGGACTTTATACCATACAAAGGTTCAGATTTCGTAGAAACTGTTATAGGAGTGGGGCTTCAAAAAATTGCCGCAGCCGAACCAAAGTATTGACTGCAATTTTGAATGTCGGAATACAGTGAGTTTTGTTGAAAAATTTGGAAAATTTTTTCCATATAACTTTTCAAAATAAGGCCGATCCGAACTGTTTTCAAAATGAGATTTTAATGCTCTATTATATTAGATGGATGTGATAGATTTGCTTTATTTTGGCATAGGTACTATAAGATCGTTCATAGTATATTAGTTAACTTTTATAGTTTAATCTATTGTAGTTTACAAGTAACATACCAAATAAGTCCAATTTAAAGCTATATACCTATGAAATTAACATGGAAATAGCCTTGAAAATTGTCAGCGAAATGCACAAAGAATTGCAGTTATGTCTTATGAGTGCGGGTAGTTGAAATAATCGTAAGATTGATTATTTTAATTACTTGCTACACAACTTACCACAGACTAAACTTAAATATTGTTGTGATCTGCCTTCAACACGTCAAATTTTGCTCGAAAACGCATGGAACTTTTTTGTTTTTGCTTGTCCTTATTTTTACAATTTTCGTTATTTTAATAATTTATTTTAGACAATCATTAATGTTTATTAAAGATTGCCGGAATAGAAAGGAATTAGCTTTGAACTATAAAAACTACTCCGAGTAATCATCTGGAAGAAGTTTTATATTAAGCAAGTAAAAAACAAAGAAGAACATCTTTAGCTTTTATCATATCAAACGAATAAATGGAACTTACTAAGTATTTGGATAATTACGGCTGCATCGGTTTTTTGTAGTGATATTTTTTTATGGTTCCAGATCGTTTTAGTCCAAAATTTCTTATAGGCCGCCTCTTAAAGTATTTCGCCTTCTCTAGGGGGGCTTATAGACCCATTGTGTTCCTTATTGTGGTGAACCTTGTTGTCAAATATAACTTTGAAATCTTATATTAACATCCACTATGGATTGTCGTTTATTGTTTTATGTTGTCAGATGAGACAACTTCCAAGTTTGTGCTTTCTAAATAATCTCTCAATTCGCGAGTAGCAACAGGCGCCAGATGGACAAACTCATAAAGGGACAAAATTAAGTAGCCTCATTCTACGGTGATTGAGAATCTTGAAGCGATCTCTGGTGCGCATTCCTGTATTTCACCGCGCGGATAAATCTTGTATGCCTCCATATTTCAGTAGTAGTTTAAAAAAACAGCAAAGCAACAAAATAACACAAAAAAATTTCCAAAATTTCAAACGAAGTCCCTCTTTATTTTTGGCCTGTTAACACTTAACAACCCAGGCTTAATCTTAACAATCAGCAGCATAACAAATGTCGTTGTTAAATAAATAAATATTTCAAGTTCAAAATTTATGAACACAATTAACACAAATATCCAACCAATGGGAAGTCAACCTTTAAAAATCACAAGAAACAAAAAAAAAGCAAGAAACAAAAAATAAAATTTACAAAACAATTGCTTTAGCGCATAACAATAATAGTCTGCAACAAAGTATCAAGAACTGCCTATAGATGCCCGCTGCTTAAACACGTCAAGACCGTGTTACGTGTATCGAAGTAATAAACTTTGTTAGGAATTGACCGATAAGATCATAATAAGTTATGCGAAAAACGGAGCGTGAGCTGCACATGAAACCACACACATACGCACTCACGCAAAAGGAATCCCCCATCACAAGCAAGCTGAAACACATGCGCATGCACGTCAACATAACGCAATAATCTTACTCAGCCAGTTCCCACAAGCACGACCAGAGTCCAAGAGTTCGTGGAAATTACTTGATGTTTATTCACAACAACATCAAGTGTCAATAATTAATGGATCACGTGCAATGAAAACCGGTAAAAAAAACGAGAACCAAAAAACTGAGCAAAACAAAAAAAATAAAAGCAAAACTTGTTGGCGCATGTGCCAAAATGATTATATACAATGAAATATAACAGCTGCTCGCTCAGCTGTTGAGCGGTTTAGCGAGAAAAATTGTATTATAAAAAAGGAAAGTCTCTCTGAGACCGACACGATTGCATCTATTTTTTTTTTTTTTTGTTTTTCAACTATAGGCGAGCTAACTAACTCAATTTAATATGTATCTTCACTATTTCAACATAACTCTGCTACTAGCATTATGCTTAACAACATTTACTGCAGATACAAAAGATACGTTGCAAGAAGCAACAACACCGATAACAACAGAAACGAGTACAATTACGCCATATGAATGCGGCAGCATAGATATTCGAAATCATTGTGACAGTTTTCAGCAGTTGGAAAATTGTACGGTAATCACGGGTTACATGTTAATTGTTTTATTACCTCGCGTGAATCAAGGAATCCATGAAGTTTGCAACTTCTCCAAATATCAATTTCCGCTATTAAGAGAAATCACCGATTTCTTAATATTCCATGAAGTTCGCAATATTACCACAATTACTGATATGTTTCCTAATTTAACTGTGATAAGAGGTCAACGTTTGTTTCTAAATTATGCATTGGGGGTAACAAGTATGAAAGATTTATATACGGTAAGTTCATCTATACCCTATGCTTTTAAAAAATGTCGTCCAAAGCTTCTACATTTTATCTTTATAAAAATTTCGCTTACACAAACACACATACAGGAATACAATAATATCTTTTTAACTAATTATAAGTTGAGTATATTAAAATATATATATTTTTCATCGACACATGAATCGAAAAAGAACACCAGGCAAACGTTTGAATATATTCATCCGAAAAATTTTTAAGCAAATATGTTTGCAAACTTTTAATTTCCCAATTCTTATTTTTTCCTGCTCGTTCGTCGACTATTTTAAAAGTTTTTAGAGTTGCAAGATAATTGAAAGAAATATGAAAATATGAACTATTTATTATTATTATTATTTATTCCAAGAGACTCAGCTAAAAGAGACCTCCCACCTAAAACACAAATGTTATGTTCAAAGTACTTTAAACTAAATTATATTAAAAAAAAAAAACAAGTGAAAACATGATAGTAAGACCTGGTCGACCATGAGGTACCCGTCACCATTTCGTGTAGTACAGTTATTCGTTTCGGCAATAATATACCAAAAATTATGCATTACTTCCATGGAAAGGCATAAAACTCGCATATTGGTAAGGGATCATATGACAAATTTAGCCAACTTAATTTACTTTCTAAAAATTTTATTATTTTTCAGTTTCCTAGAAAATAGATTTTCTCTTCATATAAGGGCTTGCTCTTAAGGTTTAAAAATAAATTTTTTAGTTAATATGCTATGATGAACCAATTTTCATCATAAAAAATTAAAGCTTTTTCTGAGGGGCTTACTATTCATGAGAAATCTTGTATAGAGTAGGATCCACTTGTGGTGCGGACATATGAAAATTTGCATGGACAGACGTAAGACGCACATACAGGCTGAGTAGTGGCTCTACCTGAAGCCCGTCTGCTTTCTACGTACCACAAGCGGCGTAGGGTGTAATTATGAATAAGGAATTTGGATTGCATATGTGTATTTATACATATATATATTTATATATAATATATATGTATATATATAACATATCATGATCGTTATCATGAAAAGCAAGCCCTTGTATGGAGAGAAAGGGTAATTTCTATTTTCTTATGCCTGACATATAATACAATTTTTACGAAGTAAATTAAGTTTCAGAAAAGGACACATCTAGCCAAAACACTTTCCAATTACTTTCGTCTAGTCGGTTTTTACCACCTAAGCTGTTTCAAGCTTTTTGACAAATGATCGTTTAGACCATTGCGGTTGTAAACAGGCGGCAGTCCAGATATGATTATTGTAACCGAAAGAAGGTTCCGAAGTGAACTTTAATAAGTTTGCAAATTTTTTAAGTAAAACAATCTTGCTTACTCACCACTATGGTTTCCGGATTCTGCTCTCCAAATCTTTTTATTTGACACCTATATCGATGGTAAAAAAATTTATTCGGTGTCCTTCATATTTACTTTAGAATTATCGCATTTTTGAGCAAATAATATATCCTCATTTGAGGAACGTACAAATTAATTTTAAACACTTTGTCTTGTTTACCTTATTAACAACCACCAAGCCTCAAAAAAGTGAAAAAGGAATTTAATCATTTATAACATTGTGTGGGCGCAGCTATTTTTACACGTAAATAGTACAGTTTTTCGTAAAGTAAATTTGGAAAATTTCAGCCTTCTATCTTTTTTAACTTTTAAGTAATGGACAAGAATCTTAAAATATTTGCTTGCAGAATTTGGCCTATTTTCAGTACCACCCTGCGTGCAGAAATTTCTACTAAATTTGAAGTCGATATCTTCATTTTTGCGACCTGGAGAGTGTCAACAACACACTACACACATCACACAGACACAACATTTTTGGGAAGCAAATTGAATCTGCTAAATTTGGATCACGTTATATAACCTGTTGGGCATCTCCCAATATGCAGGCTTTCATGAAACATATGCCTTACATTGAAAGGTAGTGTAATTTTTGGTATATTATTACCAAAGCGAGCTATACTGTGCGAACTGGTGTAGGATAGCTAACGGCTGGATTTGTCGGAGTATAATGTTCTGAATGGTTTTTCATACTACTTATCATCATCGTATGAATTAAAGTAAATGAGAGTTTTTATTCTACATAAATACATTATTAGCAAAGAACTTGTAAAGTAGATAAGTTGCACAATTAACGAGCCCACAATCAAAAAAAAGGCATGATTTTTGCAAATATATAGTTTGCTGAAGATTCGTTTTCTCATATTTGAATTTAACAAAAAATAATTATTTTTAGTTAGAGTTTCGTTCTCTGATTGCCATACAGCGAGGCCATGTATTCATCGGGACAAATCCCATTCTTTGCAATTTGGAAAAAGTAATTAAAGTCGCTGCTAAAAATATTCGGTTGTATTTTTCTATAAATTCTGTTCAACTAATAGGTGAACTGGGATCGTTTAACTTTAAGTCCTGGCGAAAACCACATAAACCTCGCTAGTCCCGAACAATGTCATACGCGTTCTGAATGTCGTGGTTGTGATAATAACTATTGCTGGTCAAATCACGTTTGCCAAAAGTTAGAAAATGATAATGTACTAAATTTAAAAAAGTAAGTTTGGAACTGTATTGTTATTACATTTTTTTGGTGTGATTTAACTTTACCATTATTAAGAGGAATAGAAAATTGTCATGAGCAGTGCTTGGGCGGCTGCTTGGACGATTCACCAAAAACATGCATGGTTTGCCAACAATGGACTGATAACAACGTCTGCGTAGAAAAATGTCCTAAAAATAAGTAAAATAAATTTATTATAAACATACTTCAAGAAGTAAAGAAGAGCATAAAGTCTGTGTATTTTCTTTTAGGTATGCTTCACCACATTATCTAAGATGCTACACCCGGGAGGAATGTACAGAAAGCAAAAACCTTTACATTTATAAGAACCTTTGCGTGCTCTCTTGCCCAAGTGGTTACACACTAAATGTGAGCTTACTTTTTACTCGACCGTTTAATCAAAATAAAATGTATCTCTAAATCCACTAAGGCTTGTATTATGCTACTGCAAAATATGAACTAGATATTCCCAATTTTCATATACGTATATATTCTAGATAAAAATCATTTTTTCAATTCATTGCCAATGGCTCTCTGCGTCCGCTTATTTTCTGTGAAAGTTTTCCAAGTGCGGAAAAATGTGATAGAAAAGCTTGGAACATAGATGATATGATTTGAAAAGTAGCAACAAACTTTTCTTCTTTTGAAAAAGAATTAATGCTCTAACTAAAAAGTAGTACTAAAATCCAAGTTAAATTGCGCGACTATATCGAATATGAGAAACTTTTTTTTTTAATTTATAGCAACATTATGAATGATTCAGTTGCGCTTGGTTTGTACAACACAAAAAGTATTTTTTCGGATTTGTACAAAGTGTAAGAGATGATTTCTAACTACGAACCTGTCATTAAACTTATTATTGAGGCAGATAAAACTTTGATCCACGCATACGACCCGAAAACGTAAGCGAATACCGTGCAAAAGGTGAGTCAAGACAAAAAACCACGCCAAAATCGCTCAAAAATCAGAGTGATGTTAACAGTTTTCTTCCATTATCGTGTGCACTACGAATTCCTTCTGTTGGGCGAAACTGTTAGCAAGGAATATTACTTGACTCAGAGGATTACACAAGTCCACCAGTTCTTCTTCGTCAATTTTATAAAAAGAGCACTACGACATCGAGGCCAGTTCTCACTCCATATTCACCTTCTCCCTCGTTTTCCTAAAAGCGGTTGTACTATTTATTAATACGATCAGTATCGTCAACCAAAACGTTGTTTAACATTCTTTAATTCTTCTTACTCTTAATTCCCTTTGTAGACATAGAATTTCTAGCAAAATTTAAAAGTGAGCGTGACTTGTCAAAAAAGACATTCACAAGGAAGGAAAGCATGATCTGTAACGCAGTCTACGCACATGACACTAATAAAATATACTATATTTTTCATATTGACCATCTAAGGTCCACGAATCCTCGAAGCATCTAATAATTCGGAATATACGCGGATTCCTAATCAGTATAAAAATTTCAGAAGATTTTAAGTGCCCATCTGTGATAGGCGTATATAAAAGCTATTTAACAACTCAGAGCACGTGATCTGCCTACAAAAAAAAGTTGCGAAAAAAATCGCAACTTTTAAAATTTTATAGTGACAGTATTTAAATTTAATATAAATTAATGTAAAAAACACGGGGCCACATTTTATGAACTCGTTCTCATACAGACGTTCCTATAAAAAGTCAAGTAAGAAAATTATATTCAGTCGTAACCAAACCTTTTATATCTTTCTACATTTATTCTGAAAAGACTTAAACAAAAAAGAAAGGAACTACGTGTTTATATTCTTTAACATTAGATGGGCTGATTTTTTCTATTTTCAGAATAAAAATCAAAAGTTGTGAGGTGTGCACGTCGTGTTACGAGTAACAAGCAAAACCCAAAGAAACCAAAGGTATTCCAGTTGTTGTTGTATAGGTGTGTTCTTTGACCCGTTGAGGTAATTTTCAAATTCGTTTACAAATTTGAAAATGTTTGCCACTGATACACGCTGCACAGTTGGATAGACGGACATGCTCAAATTGGCAAAGTATATGTGCATTACGAGGTTTTTGCCGTTCGCTTCTCCGCGTTATAAAAAATATAAAATTTTGATTTGGTAGGCGCGGTCAACTGTTCTCATTTTTATCGTGGTGCTACGATCGCCCATAGAATACACGTTCAAATTGTTGCGCTTATTTCCGGTAATTTATGAGTAATGGGAAAAGAAACCATTTTTATTCCTTTTGAAAAACAGAGGCATTTTCAGTTTACGTGATACTGAAGACATTTTCAATATCAACCTGCGTGCAAGAACTTCTAATGTTTCCACCAAATTAGAAGTCGATAGCTTTATTTTTGCGACCGGCAGAATGTTTAGAATATAAATTATACAAACGGACGGACTTGCTTAAATGGATTCAGAATATGAAGCCAATCAAATATATGTCCTTCTGGGCGTTGCAAATGCTTTAAAAAAATGAATGTACTCCTCATTCTAAGCCATTTTGGGAAAAGGTAACAATTTTTATTATTTTATGGTGATAAAAACGGTTTGTACTAAATTTGCACCGATATGCAAGGGTTCTTGTGGAAAGTAAACCTCTACAAAGCAACAAACTGTAATTTTTAACACTTTGTAAGTGAAACGAAAGAATTGTTGACAAGAAAATCCTTTTATTAAATTTGGACAACGTTAGTTCACGTTTTGGGCCCTCTTCCACATAAACACACCCAAAAGAAATATGCAGTCACATGGCTGTTCACAGGCGTAAAAGCATAATTTTTGACACATTACCACTAAAATATGTTGAGAAATGTATAGAATATTTAATCCTGATTATAACGTGTTAATAAGACCTGTCGAATCCGAAAATCTGTCCAATCGGGTTTAATTTGCTACTCGCACTCGAATTCTTATGTTAATTTGTATAACCACAAGAAAAGTGCTGGTAAATAGTACAAAATTATTACTAAATATACACGACATGCAACCGAAATATCATGCAACTAAATCTTCGATTTATTCTTCGATCAGTCATTGTAAACAAGTCAATAGTGGATGTTAAAAGATTCGGCCCAAACCGAGTGCGATTACCTTTCTGCTTCTATTTATTTTATCTGCAGGAAAGTATACGCGAATGTGTGCAATGCCATTCGACTGACGAGTGTATAAAGATTTGTAATCCATCCAGCGATTTGGAACCCTTTTGGTTATTGAACTTGGGCGATGTGGAAGACATAAAGGGTTGCCAAATTCTCAATAGCAGTGTTTTTCTAACAATACGTAATCGAATCAATGAAAATGACTTATACCAAAGTTTCGCAGATGTTAAGGAAATTAAAGGTCACTTGAATATTTACAAGTAAATTGAAAGAAATCATTTTCGAACCAACACAACAGTCCTTTAATATTTATTTTTATAGAAATACTTATTTATCCTCTTTAATGTTCCTGAAAGGTTTACGGAAGATTCACGGCAAAAATTCGAAAGATCATCATTTTTCTTTGACTTTGTACGATAATAAGAATTTACGTGAATTGTGGTCACCGACCGAAGATTTTGAGCTAATACATGGTGGAATGTACGTGCATGCTAACTACAAACTATGTAACCGTTTTTTAAGGAAATTTGTAGGAGATGTTATTCATGACAAAAGTAAGGATTCTTTGCAAACCAACGATCAAGAGGTGCTATGCGCTCCCGCTAAACTAAACGTGAAAATTGAGGTTAGCGCGCAAAAATTGTCTTATTTTTTTATTCCATTGAATTCTCTTCATCCCTTAGGTGTATTCCCACAGTACCGTGAAGTTTAGTTGGCCTAAGAAGCAAACCTCACTACAAATCGAATTCATCTTACGTCCTCTATCACATAATGAACTTTTCGATGAGAACCTCGACGTAGATACAGAGATTTGCAAAAAAGTCAATTGGTTACGTATATTGAAGTTCGCAAGCGAATTGTCACAAAACGGTAGCCATTATTTCCACAAAGTTCTAGGTTTGCAAGCTAACACCAAGTACGCCTGCCTTGTGAAGACATTTGAGGATAATGACAACTATGAAGCGCGGAGTGATCTCATCCACATTACCACGGAAAAGGATATTCCCCCACCACCACAAATAGTTGTCAAACAAAAAACCGACTCTTCTTTAACCTTGCAATTGAATTATGGAATCGTGACAATGCGAAAAATCGTAGATTACTATAAATTGGAAGTCTACAGCCTGCCCGACAACAAAACAGATGTAGATAAACGAGATTATTGTCTTGAACCAGCTGAGATGTACGCTGCAGCACATGCATATGAAGATTACGATGCCTGTTGTGAACGCAGAGAGGAAGAACGTGAGAAGACAGTGTTTGAACATGTGATGCAAGAAGTCTATATTTGCTCTAGAGATCGTGCAACGCACTGTTTGAAAGGCCAACAAGAAAACTCTGAAAATCCGCCCATTTACACGAAGCGTCTAGAACACAGTGAAACTTCATATACTATCAAAAAATTACAACACTTCCAATTGTATGTTCTACAAGTGAGAGCTTGTAATCGTTTCGGTTGTGGATCTTTTGGTGCCTTAGCGGAACGCACGAATTATTCTACAACAGCAGATAAAATTTATGATTTATCAGCCTGTCGTGTAGCCAACAGTCGTGAATACCAGTTAAGCTTTAAAGAACCTCAACATCCTAATAGCTTAATTACCTCATATATGGTCCACTTTCGTTTGGTTATACCGTCTGGACAAGGTTATCAAAGCTATCTCAAATGCATTACTCGCAAGGAACATGCCCTTAATAATTATCGCTTCATTACAACACTGACCGTCACTTATGATCAGGTAGCCGTGCGGGTTAATTCTTTGGCAAGTCATACCTTCGTAGGTTGGGTGAACATAACCACTTGCGATGGCGGTACTAAAATCGCTGGCACGTCGCGTTCTCACAAAGGTTGGAATATATTCCTACTGTTTTTTCTGTTAGGAGCTGGTGGTACAATGTTATGGATTTTCTATAAGCGTCGTTGTTGGCATAATTTTTACGAATTAAGACGCTTTTTACCCGTGCGGAGAGAATGGTCCGCTTCTTTTGTCAGGGAAGGCCTGGTGGAGGACCGTCAAGTTTTAGTTTACGATTATGAAACAGTGCGTTTTCAATTTCCATCACAACATTCTAAAGAGGAGCAATGTGTCAATAATTGAAGCTAAAATATATGAAATATTTTTTATTTCGTACGAACTTTGATTTATGTTCCTTTTCCTACTTACCTTTACAGTCCGTTCTTCTTAAGAGTTTTCTTGTCCCGTTACCTACTATTGTTGATTTTTATTAAAAGATTTTCGCTGTTTTCTTACCCCATAATAATAAGCTGAAATCTTTGATCGAATTATGTTTATATACGGCGAAATCAGAGGCCAGACTTTGGCAGGCAGTAATATATTGGAACTATAGAAGATACAGCGGTTTATATTTTAAAACATAATAAAAATATATAAACATACTTGCTCGTAATGTGCAAAATGTCCTATGATTATCAAAGGAACTTATAGTAAGACAGAGCATTATTCGTTTACATCTTAAGACGATTGTGTTAATGTAATGACAGCAGGGCTGAATCCTTCATCACTCTCTTCAGAACGTTTTACTTTCACTAACAAGAAATATTCGTTTCGACTGCAAATTATTTCAAATTCGTGTATTCCACAAATTCCAAATCGAGCTTAAGAAAATCCTTACATTCGATAACTCGACTTTACATTTGATAACTCGCGCTCAATATTTGATAAGCCGAATCAATAAATAGATAAAATAAAAAAAGGCATTTGGAATGCATTCCAAATATTGGCGAATATTCTTAAAGTACGAAATCGTTGGCTCATTCCACGTGCTTCAAAAGTTATCTACAGTCTCGCAAGCTCACCTCAGCTTTGAGCTAATCTCATGGGTAGTAGAGTAAATAGTAGATAAAAATGAAATAAAAAACTAAGTTAGTCTTTATAAGGATTTTCAACGCTCACCACCATCACCAAAACAAGCGTACTTTGCACAGCTTCTTCTAATACGATTTCATATCAGATATTTATACCGACTTTCGCAATTCTATGCGCTATTTCTGTTTAAAGTTTTGGTTGTTTTCCTTAAATTGTTCTCGCCTCTTAGCTGTACTTGTAGATAAATTTGTAAAGCGTGTAAAAACAAACAGGTATCGGTAGGTTATTACGAAGACGACTTAGTATGTCACTAATTAATAATATTTAATTATTCTAGGAGCTCCAAGCTCAGCATTAGCTACGAGATCACTTAATATGGTGGGGGACATGGAAAACAGTTTCTATCATTATTTTGGATACTAAATGTAGGTTGCTTGTTCTTCTTCCATCTGCTACATTTCGTTGTTTCAAAGGTGTCGTATTTCTAACTCAGAATCACCTTTCGTCAGGAAATATATTAGCGTCCACTGCGCTTGGCGCCCGCCTTGGCGCTCATCTGCGTAGAAGATTTTAATACTACTTGTTAATTAATTGTTAAAAATTTTCTTTGTAAAATATTTTCAGTTGTTTTATATACTTTAGATAAATGAAAGCATATGTATTTATATATATACGTGTGCTGTATGATTCTACTGTAGATATATGAAAGTGTATATATGTTGTATTATTGTAGGAGCCTTTTAGAAATGTGGATTTCAGTATGTGAAAGTACTTTGTTAGGCGTATTTTTTTTCTTTCTTTTTCTTAAATTAAATTATAGTCTTTAAAGCTACTACATAAAAAAGATTACATTATATTTGAATTTATATTGTTTTTTATTTGAACTAATTTTCAGGATAATAGTGATTTATATTCAAATTATTCGAAAAATTTTTATTTTTTGGTTAAAACTTAAACATTCTAAGACAAACTCGAAGAATTATTTTAACTATTTCAAATAAGTTTAGACAACATTAGAAAATACAGCTAATTTTTAAGGCACAAATGTTGCTTGTTTCAAGGAAGTAGAGGATAGTTTAGCCTAAAAATCACTCTGTTAAAAGCTAAACATAGGTATATATACATATATACAGATGTAGTAAGGATGTCACTATGGGCATTGAAGGTTTCTTCTATACCCCTAAGAATTGGGAAAAAGTACAATAAAGTCTTATAATAAATATTGGTTGATGATTTTTTGTCACGACGATCCCACTTGTACAACACAACCAGTCCAAGCTAATGATTTACCGCCATGAGAATGCATTACAGTTGTTACGATCAGTTTGATGTATCTCATTAAGCCGATCAGTAGCGTCCATGTAAATATCTACGAAAAGCAAGGAAACGTTAACAGTTTTATAAGTTTTTTAAATAACTTTTAGTTCGATTGAGTATAACTTCGAAAATACTAAGGCCACAACTTATATCTTTTAACCATAAATGCTTAGTTTAATTCTTTCCATGCCGTACCATCTAATTGAATAAGATTTTGTGTTAATGGATCGGTGCTCACATTATTGTATAAACCGCGATCTTGTAAATGATCAGCAATTACTACCAAAATTTGGCAAATAGCATCAAGAATCAATATTAATACTATCGGTTTTAGCCAAGCGCGAAAGCCGATAAATGGTGCATGTCCGTTATAGAGTGTGAAGAAACGTCGCAACACATCAGCTATATACAGCTTACTTCCAACAGTTGGGTTTAGCATGCAGTATACCACGATATTTCCAATAACTGAAAGCTGCTTTCACTATTAAGTAGAGAATTAAAAATATCCGTGTTCATACGTCTTAAATGTACGATATTTATGCGGTGCAAGCGTTTAGCTTCTATTTCTTCATTTTTAAGTGTTCCTACGCGCCCCTTTAAATCCATAAGTCTCTTGGCGTCGAACAGAACCGCCTTACTTAAGTCACGGAAATCTTCGCCTCCTCGAAAATGTATTTGATGCATTTGTAAAAAGATGGACACATAAATTTTGTTAAGCTCTTGTTGGCGTTTTCGGTAAAAGAAGTTTTTATAGGTTACACTGGATTTCAATTTTTTAATTTATTGAGGCAAAGCAAAACGTGAATAATTCATATATTTCAATATTGATTCACTTCTGGCATAGTACTATTGTACGCTACTGTCTGTTCACTTTGCATATTTGCCTTCGCACTTATATTCTTTGCTATGCGAATTAATGTTGCGAAAAAACGCACCCTGAATGCCAGCAACGTTTCCTTCTCTTTATTATAAACATCCATATGATATATTACGTTCTTTTGCGCTTCCTTAATTTCGTCACGTTTGGAATCTATCTGCTTGAGGGCATCATTTAAATTTTTTTCCAATTCGTGTCTATCTGCGCGTAACTTAAACGCTCACTCATACTTCAGTCCAGGTGGACAATGGCTTTCATCCAAACGTACGGCCGTCATATCGGTGTGGTCAATACTTTTGGTGTCTTCTTCCCCTCCGCTGGAGGATTCATCCACCGAGCTCTACTCGGACGATTCTAAACAAACATATAGAACATAGAAAAACGAGGGTATATGAGGCTTTCAGAGCAATTTACGCTTAAATTCTATATAGTTTACCATCTTCATTTTTCAATGGCGTAGGAGGACGCCATTTTTTGCAAAAAATACGACGCAAAAAGTCGAGAAACTTAAGACCCTTAGTGTTAGTCATACATTTTGTTTGAATTGCAGCAATTTGGTTATTAATGCGATTCGCAACTTTTACGCAAATCGTCAATTTGCCGTGTCCACGCGTTAACGTGTCGTCAAAGCGTATTCAGCATTATTTAATAATTGATTTTCTATCTGTTCACTGTCTCTTATTATATATAGCTTTTGATTCATAGCTGTTAGATAACTAGTCGTGAAATCAGTCTCATATTTTACTTGGAGTCGACCATCGTTTAATTCCGTCAAAAGATTATCCAATCTTTGAACGCTTTGATTTAGAATGTTGTCTTGTTTTTCTATTAACCAGGGCGAAGGCTCTCCTTCATTGCTCAAATAAAAGGCCAGAGTTAGGTGGACTAGGTAATTGCTTGAATTCCTCTACAAGATGAGAATGCTTCGGAAAAGACTTCCAGCCTTTACATCGACATCTGATCCAATTCAAGAATTTTAACTTCTTTATTTTTAAGCTTTCGAATTTTGGTTATAGATCACCTCGGAAGTAGATCTTCAACTTTCTTCTCAAGGTATAGTGTATCGTTGATTTCTACACCACAGCCAGGGAAATATTTCTCTATTAAATTGATCTCGCACTCTCAATGGTGCGCCTTCTCTTGAAAGGCGCACCATTTATCTACTGAAGCGTTGCAAGACCGCAGAAAAAAGTTTCCTCAGGTAGTTCAAGCACTTCTTCACCTTTCTCTTCTGGAGCCTCAAACTAGTCTTCACTGGTAA